GACTTTGTCAAGTAAATGCAAAAGTGATTAAAGCAATATAATTTGATACTAAATCGTAGTAATGAAACTGCAATTTCCTCAGTATGTCGTGAGTTTCGCAGAAAATAATCGAGTATTTTAAAGTGCAATTATTGGTGCGATACATTGCATTAGTTTAAAGCTTCATTTGCATATGTTGTCCATAACTTTAAACTAATAATAATATAACTTGACACTAATAGGAGATATATTGAAAATACTCGATTAATTTAGCACATCTTTTTCAATCAGATTATATCATGACAAATATAGATCGAATTAAAATATTTGTTATCAATATCGGAATGGAAACGTCTTACGTGTCATCTCGAACAGAGCATCTCCGTCAAACTGTGTGTGAGTGTATATGTGCGTTAATTAAAAAAAAGTAATTATAATTTACATTCTTTAGTGATTTGGTCTGAGTTGTAATTATGAGACGTAGTGCATTCAAAAAGCAAACTATCAAAATATGAATATTATAGGTTGTGCGAATGCTTGTGTGAATACATGCGTAAGCGCATGTAATGTTTGTGTACATTCTTTATGCAATTTAAATTTAGCGCAGGATTGTTGCATATTTAAATTGTGTCAATTATGTGATTTAAAAATTATATAAACTTGATGAGAAAAATGGTACTTACGAATCCCAGTACACACTTATGGTGTATATTTGTACATGCTTATATGCATGTGAGCAAATGTATGTATGTATGCTGAGCGTTCAAGGTTTTTGCAAGAATAGTTCATTGAAAAGTTTACATGGACTTGTTTATGAAAGTGTGTATACAGGCATCACATATACAGGTGGATACATATATAATTGTATATATTGGGTTTCCAAAAAAGTCAAATGTACTAAAAAATGACTTACAAATATGTATATACCTACATGTATACACACATTCGGGTTTTAATGTTTATGTATTGTTCAGTTGGTAGAGTGCGAAGCGGAACTTGCTTGTATGTAAAAATATTGTAAGAGGGGCAGTGGAAAGGCAGAAATTGGTAATTCAGTTAACGGAAATCATATTTCAAATCACCAAAGCTGTATAACCAACGCTACACTCAAACGTTTTTCACAATGTCTGATCTTGGAAGCGGCGACGATGGCATGTCAGGATCAAGTAAGTTTCATTCTGCTCCGAAATTAACTAGTTCTTGTACACCATTCAAACGCTGCACTTTTCCGTTGAGATTTCTGAATTTTATTTTGAAATGATTATTTTTTTATTTAAAAATATATTGATACAACTGGAATCAACTAAAATTAAAATAGCCCACAAAAAGTACAGCAAATTATAACAATAAAATCACCAACACGATTGTTAGCTTAATTCGCGTATTTATGGAAATACTAAAAATATGTATATATCATTTTTCAGAATATAATGCGAGTAATATGGAACGCTCTTCAAGTAGAAATGATTTTGAATCGGGAAAAGGTAGGACATTAAATGCACACATTTATCAATCGATTTTTTCATTTATAATTTATTTACTAATTATTATTGGCTCTTCAGCTAGCAGTGCTGTCGAACAAGAATTGGCGACAAAAATGCTTCAAATCCAATCGAAACGATTTTACTTGGATGTTAAACAAAATCGTCGGGGACGCTTTATAAAGGTGGCTGAGGTAAATATATAAATAT